AATCATCAAGAATGTATCCTAGCCATGTTAGTTCACAACAACCAGCCGTCATTGCCCTATATTCCGCCTCTGCTGATGATCTAGAAATAGTAATTTATTTCTTGGACTTCCAAGATATCAGTGAGGAGCCTAAGAAAACACAATACCATGTTATTGATCTCCTAGAATCTGGACATGCCCCCCAATCCGAATCTGTATGGGCTCTAAGTTGTAAGTCTGAGGATGAGGATAAGGGAAAAATAGTCTTAGGCTTGGTGCCCTTTTGATGTACCTAAGCACTTTGTGTGCAGCCTTCAGGTGTAAAGTCCTAGGATTTTGCATATATTGGCTCAACAAGTGTATTGAATATGATAAATCTGGTCTCGTAATGGTCAGGTAAAGTAATCTACCTACCAATCTTCTGTACAGAGTTGGATCAGAGAGCACTTATCCTTCATCCTTGGATAATTTAGTATTTGGGTTAATTTCACAAATGGTCACTAAAGTTACCTGAAAATTTCAAAACGGTTACTGAAGTTTCAAAGTTTCAGAAACGGTCACTGAAGTTTGAAATTTCTTTCAAAACGGTCACTGAATTTTCAGATTTTTTGGGCAAGTTTGAGGCAATTTTTCAACAACTTCCGACCACCACAACAGCCGATTTCGGATACCGTTGGAAAGCCCACGATGTCCTCTTCAATTACCACAAAAAATCTCTCCAAAACTCCAAGTGATTCTGCCGGAATAAACCCACGAAGTCAGCAACCGAAAATTGTGAAAATCTGCCCAGATTTTCAGATTTTTTGGGCAAGTTTGAGGCAATATTTCGGCAACTTCCGACCACCAAAACCTTCGATTTCGAATACCTTTGGAAAGCCCACAATGTCCTCTTCAATTATCACCAAAAATATCCCCATAATTCCAAGGTATTCGGCTGGAATAAACCCACGAAGTCAGCTACCAAAAAAGTTCGAAAATCTGCCCAGTTTGGATAGCTGACTTCGTGGGTTTATTCCGGCCGAATAGCCTGGAATTATGGGGAGATTTTTGGTGATAATTGAAAAGGACATTGTGGGCTTTCCAACGGTATCCGAAATCGAAGGTTTTGGTGGTCGGAAGTTGCCGAAATATTGCCTCAAACTTGCCCAAAAAATCTGAAAATCTGGGCAGATTTTCACAATTTCCGGTTGCCGACTTCGTGGGTTTATTCCGGCAGAATCACTTGGAGTTTTGGGGAGATTTTTTGTGGTAATTGAAGAGGACATCGTGGGCTTTCCAACGGTATCCGAAATCGGCTGTTGTGGTGGTCGGAAGTTGTCGAAAAAATGCCTCAAACTTGCCCAAAATATCTGAAAATTCAGTGACCGTCTGTGAAAGAAATTTCAAACTTCAGTGACCGGTGCTGAAACTTTGAAACTTCAGTGACCGTTTTGTTATTTTCATGTAACTTCAATGACCATTTGTGAAATTAACCCCAATTAAAACCTTTTGATTTTTATTTTTTTTAAATTTTGAATTAAAGGTCATTTGTCCAAAATCATTGTGGTACCTGACTGTTTGGCCAAATTTCCCTAAAAAGAATGAAAAAACTGGCTATTCGGGTAGGGCGGGTTATTTTCATGAGCAAACGGTTTATTTGTCCACTTCTTGGGATAAGTGAGCATTTAATGTGGATTGACATTTGTACTTTTTGAAATAAATAGTATTGGTTATGTGTCAAAATTTTATTGACCAACACAATTTTTGTAATGGTATGGAATTTTTTGTCTGTTGTGTGGAATTAAAAATTGGAAACAAGGCTATATGGTCTAAATTATTGTAAAATAGGCATTGAGCAAATTTTGAACATTTTTATAAATGACCATATAAAAGTGAACATTTTCGTGCAATTTCCTCATTATTGTAGGTTGGGGATAGTGATGTCAGGAAAGAAAGGCTAGAGGTGAAAAAGTAGTAGGGCACAAGTTAGGGACAACTATCACAATTTAGCAGAAAATTTAAGTTTCTTGAAAATTTTATTTGGGTGTATTTAATTTTTTTTTAAGATTATAAAAATCTTGATAAATTTAATTTAAAGCCTTTAAAAGTCATGCGATTTTCAAAATATCTTTAAAGACTTTTATATAATTATTTACGTATAAGTAGAAAGTACAATTATAAAATTTTACTAAAATTTCCTGTTTCACTCCCAAGAATTTGAAAGACATCCACCAATTGGCATAAATTAGTTCAACCATTAAATCACACTATTTCATCTTTAATAGTGTATATTGTGTTACGCTTCACCACCGAGGTTTAAAGTCAAAGTGCCACGTAGCAATCTACGTGGGCAGAGAGTCAACAAAGACCCAAGTGGTCAAATACAAAGAAATTATGCAAACTACCGAAACTCGTACCGAGGCACTGCATCAATGGACAAAGCACTACACTTGGGCTGAAACACTGCTTAAAGAAACAAAGAAAGGAGCTGAAGTTCTCCACTTAGAGGACCAGCTCCGAAGCTCTCAATTCATCTGAAGCTCACGAAATCGAATTTGTCTCTTACAATATATTTGAGTATCTTTTAGAAGTGATTGATGTAACACTTGTAATAGAGAATGTCCACGTGTCAACCTATTCTATAGGGTGGCTGACCCATTATCAATGTATTAATTGTATGAATAGACAATGATGTGAAGTCTCAATTAAGTGATGAAGTCACATGGTTCTGATTCAATGAACACCACGTCGGTCAAAACAGTATAAATATGTTATCTTTGTAACTTAGAAAGAATTGGAAAAATTGGAATTTTAGATTCTTATTCTCACATCTTGAACTCTTAAACATTGAATGAACAAGCAATATTTACAAATAATTTTATGAGCATTTTCATCCATCATTATGCACACTTGGTAGATAAATACCTTAATACACAATCTTACAATTTATATATACGTTTATTTTCTATTTTTCCACATATTATAGTGAGATCTTTGGTTAGTACTGAAATTGATCACGAACTAGATCTTCCTGTACCTGAATCAAAGGCGTCGAGGTGTGTCCTCGTCGCCCCTCTGATGCTTAAGTCAGACAGGGAAATTGAGTATATATTGCTGAATGTATGTGTGGAAAAACGTACCTGAATAATGGATGAGAATAGTGTATTTATAGAGGTAGGTAGTTGAGTCCTAGAAGGACTCATCTCCTTATTTTTAGGAGATAGCGTAGTGATTGGAGTTGTATGGAAGTCTCCTTCCTTATTTGAAGTGTTCCTCAAGGTAAAACTCCTTCAGGACCTAGGATTCCTAATTTGAGGTAATTGGATAAGGTTAGGGCTCTTTCGGGACGAGGACTAGTAACGCTTGATCACGGGGCACTTTGAGAATTTGGCTAAGGCAAAATCCCGAGCATATACCCCCGAGGACTACCAATGTGATTTTGGAGGTATTTTGGAAGGTCTATCCTCGAGGTAACTCGAGCACCATGCAAGCTCGAGGACTCTGGTCCCATAATCCAAAAAGAAGAGCCCTTGCAGTCCCCATGCTCGAGGTGTCCATAATAATGACCACATCACTGGCCCCCGTGCATCCATTCCTAGAGCTCGAGAGTTAGGTGAGGATGCATATGAGCTTGATGATGGCTCAGTTAATAAGTCATGAGCTNTCTTACAATTTATATATACGTTTATTTTCTATTTTTCCACATATTATAGTGAGATCTTTGGTTAGGGGCTTTGATTCTCGATTGGTGATTGTTGTTAGCATGATCATCTTTGTTTTACCTGCCGAAATTTGAACATCTTTGTCTCTCACCGTAAAGCATCTCTCGCCTTCAAGTCTGCCTCCTTTCTCACTGTTTCTCCTGTAGAAACGCTCCGAAACTTGCTTTACTTGGCGAGAGTGGACTCGACATCTGTTGACCCGTTTTTTGGGGTCAACATATTTCATCATATCAGAAGATCATGACTTTTCATTATATACCTTTTTTGAATAATCAAACTCATTTTGAAATTGTATAACTCTTTGATATGCATCATTTGCAATTGAAGAGTCACGACTAGTTATCGCATTAATCAGAAACTTTTCCAATTTATTCTTTTAAAAATATCCCGTAATTCCAACAGGATGCACTGTTTATTTTGTGAACATGAATCAACTGATGATGTTTAAGCTCATCTATATTTTGTGAGCATTAGTAGGAAGCATTTTGCATGTAAATCTCTATGATCATATTCATTTGGAATAGTTTACCTGAGAGAATGATGTTCCTACTAATTCATTGAATCTTAGTAGGACTCTTGCACGATGCTTACTTCACGATTCCATTCCAAGATCAATCAACCATAGAAACATCACTATGATCCCGATCAATGATAAAAGAGATGGCTTCCTAAATGTATCACACAAGTAATCTCACGAGGATGATTATACTCCATTCAATGTGCACCTTGTTTCATTGATAGTTCTAATGATAGTCACAAGAAAAGTAGCTAGTGTCTAACCAAATGATAAATTTTCCTTTTCTCAATTATTGCATTGTCCATGACAGTATCTAGAAAAAAACAATGCAAATTTGTACACGTTTTTTTAGCAACGATATGTATATGTTATTAAATAGCAGTCACTATGCTTTTTACTTGAATAAATATAATCGTTACCGCAAAAATTCTATTAATTTAAGAAAAAAAATTTATCCATTGCTAACTTTTTATTTTTATAATTTTATAAAGGATTTTACATCATTATGAACATTTTTCCAGAGAAAATTGAAAATGATAAAATCAAATCAAAATTTAATTAGATCGAACATGTAAACTAAGGTGGAGTGACTAAGGAAGTAAAGCTCCGCATTTAAACGTTTCAGCTGCCCAAGGAGACAATTCAATATTGTATGGTAACTTCTAAGAGTCAATCTTATCTTTTCAGAAGACTTTGTATTTTCCATTGCATGGAGAACAGAAGGGGTTAAATCTTCTGTATATATGTATCTTAATTGAGTGGTTAATCAGATTATTATGATGGAAAGAAATTACAAACTTATAATGGAATTGGGTGAGAGTGCAAAGAGTTTCAACTTGGAGACTGTTGTCTGCAACCATGGCTTTTTCATGATGGCTCCAAATTACTGGATTCCCACAACAAAAACCCTTATGCGTGTCTTACGACTCTCAGACTCCATCACCTGTGTAATTGTCTCTATTTCACACCCTTCGAATCGAAACTTTCTTCAAGTTGAAGTTCATGGAATGGATCAACTCTCTTCTCTAGACAAAGATGCTATTCTGGTATGTATATATTTATTCTTTTTCAACTTTTATAGCAAATTATTAACATTTTGATCATATAGTCTCAAGTGGGAAGGATGCTACGAATATCTGCCCAAGATGAACGTGATATGGAAGAATTTCACAAAGTTAATCCACAAGCGAAGAATAAATGTTTTGGCCGACTTTTCCGTTCCCCAACTTTGTTCGAAGATGTCATCAAGTCAATTCTCCTTTGTAATTGTCCGTAAGTAATACATAAACGTCGAGATACTGAAGCTCTTTATCTATAATCTGTAAACTGTAGTTTAATTTATGTCAATATATTGAGAATTCTTATGTTGTTATTTCTGCCCATTTTTAAGATGGATAAGGTCATTGCAAATGGCTCAGGCACTTTGTGATCTTCAATTGAAATTGTCTTCTAAAGGTTCTGTCAGGAAAGAATCGAAGAGAAAGCGAGCCAGTTTTGATGACAAAAAACACTGTCCAAATTCCATAGCTTTTGACAGAAATACTCAAATTCCATCAGGAAACTTTCCAAGTCCAAAAGAACTTTCCTCTGTGAATGAGAAGACATTAAATCAACACTGTAATTTGGGATACAGGGCTTCTCATATTCTACGACTAGCCCAAAAGATCGAAAATGGAACAATAAAACTAAGGGCTTTCGAAGAGGGTTATGATTTGCTGTCGACTGATAAATTGTACTACAAACTACTGAAGATAAAAGGGTTTGGTCCCTTTGCTTGTGCAAATATTATGATGTGCATTGGATTCTACCAAAAGATTCCTGTTGATACAGAAACTATCAAACATTTGAAAGAGGTACTGATTTCTTACTTTGTCATTTTTAGTCTATTAATCATAAATTTTGTGAAATAATGTTTACTTTTACTATTATATTTTAAGGTACATGGGATGAAATTGCTAACCAAAAGAGAGACCAATGTACAAATTTATGACAAGTATGAGCCATTTCAATGCTTGACATACTGGTAACGACTTATCTTCTACTACTTTAATCCCGAAAACAAAGTTAAATTTTTTGTCTGGAGGAGTCTTGTGCATATTACGTAGAAAGCATGCCCTTGTTAGTTAACGCTTGGTATATTTTTCTTACTTAACTGCAGGATGGAGCGCGTTGACTACTATGAAAAAAGGTTTGGAAAGCTAAGTGAGTTGCCACCCTCGAATTATGGAAACGTCACTGGAAGCTATATTGAAACTCATGATTCTGAACGAAGAATTAAAGAATAATATCTATCTTTTGATGTTTATTAGCAACAAGCATCTGAAAAATCTTGACGAAATACTATAGATGGATGGAAACATTTTGAAATGCAACAAATTATCTTTTAGTTTGCGAAGCATATATCACGGCTTATTTGCGTTAAAATCCAAATATAGTTTGTGAAATACGCTAAAAATCTTCTGTAAACATCTTCAGTGGTAAATTGAATTATGATAATGGAAAGTAATGAGATTTGGAAGACATGGGCAAATTGCATTGTACTAATGCCAACCAAAAATCCCTTGCATGTTTCTTGGACTCTATTAATGTTTGTATTTTAATTTTTTTGAGAGTGAAACTAAAGATCTTTACGAAGAAAACAACACACAAAATAAGTATTAGCATAAAATTGACTCGACTACATGAGGCCGGTGAAAGTAGTGAAAGAAGCAAGATGATACTCTGTGCTGCAGTGTTTGTACCATACCCTTGGCTGTACAGATTTCCATAACCACAAGCTCCACCTGCCAAACCCAGAATTTTGTCATGTTCAAAGCCAATTTGAATTTGAAAATTATGTACAAAAAAGAATTAAAAAAATAAGCTTTTAAGCATGGCTTAGAATTTTTCTAGTGTATTCATTCAAGATACACTAGTCCATGTTAACATATATTCATAATATAAGAAAAAAGTGAGAGAAGAAGAAGATAATTGTTCAGGGTTTGAAAGAAAATGTATACAAAATGGGAAGAACTAAGAGGAAGTTGTTGAGTGAGGAGAATGTGAAGAAATGTGGGAATATAAATAGAGGTTAGTGAGGAGAATATTCATCATGTAAACTTAGAGCTTTCTGGTCTAAAGAGCAAAGTGACTAAATACTCTTTAATCATGCTTTGCACATCACAGTCGGTTACATCGAATGAAAATTGCTTTGTTTTACAAATTCCTCCAAATAGCCTATCTTCCTCAGAGAACTAGCCGCAACAACTATTCCAAAGAGAACTGGGATAATTGCATGTTTTAGCGTCATCGTAAGTATACGATATCAATTAAATTGTATTATATGAAACCTAAAAAATAAAAATTATCATTCTTATGAGAACTATTAATTTATCTAATTATAGGTTTCAAGTATGTCTAACTTCTATTCAAGTAAAAAAAAAAAAAATTTAATTTAGTTACGATCATAAATGTGATAACTCTACGAAAATAATTAAAAAAGTTTGCAAATAGACAATATACGATTTTAATTGAAGCACGAAAAATGTTAGGGTTCACAAGTTCACCATATATATCTACTTTGTTATGTTGGCTTCAGGAGTTTTTTCTTTCATGCATAATTTTCTTACTACAATCCTTCTTAGCTTGATGTCCTGAATTCCTATAATTATGACATACCCCTTTCAACCGCTTTGCATTATTACGTTTTCCTTGTCTTCAGACGAGTCATGTCTTCAATCATGTTGGTCTTTGCCTCCATCTTCTGCACAGAATTTCTTTCCTATAGCCTTGTTGTCTTTTTCAGTGTGAAGTCAAATAGTTGAATCCTCCATTGCCTTTTTCTTACTTGATACAAATTCTTTTGGAACCGAAAATGGATGCATTTCTTGACCTAATTCCGCCTCCTATCTATACAAAACAATGCACATTCAATAAAAATTATGAAACTTTTGTAAATTTAGATTGGATGGTTACTAAAATATTGAATCACCCTTATTAATCTATTTCAATGCAATTTAATAACATGACATTATGTGCATATTCTTCTCGATCAATATTCTTAAGTTAATTAATAATATATCTCGATATCAATTAAATCTACTCTCTCATGTGACGTTCCTATATCTATATGAAATATGCTAGGGTTATTAGCACAAAACGTCACTACGTTTGAAATTCATTGTGCAAAACGTCCCCATCTTGTATTTTTTGTATTTTTACCCTTTATTTATATCTTTCATTGCGAAAATCATCATTCTCATAATTTTTTTAATCTAATTTCTCTATAAAAAAATTGTGAAATGACGAATATACCATCCTATTTAAATAAAACAAAAAATGAAAAAATAAAGAACTAATTGATAATATAGT